GATGTGCTGCTACGGCAAGAGGATGAGCCTGGCATACCGGTAGAGTGAATGGCAATCGCTACCTCATGTGTCCGGTGTCGCATCGTCGGACCAGGACGGCTGTGCGCAACTGTCGCCTGCCCAAAAGTCTATGGTCGGCCGCAAAACGTGAAATAAGTTCGAGTGGTTTTACATTTGACTCGATTTACTTTCGACCAATGGAATTGCTTTCCCGAATAATAGATAATAGTATTTCTCGATGGACGATCTTGAGAAATATCGGACAGGGATGGACGATCCTGAGAAATACCGTAATAGCCAAGGTGTTTTGGTCACTTCAGCATCACATGTGATTATATATTGCTCAGAGTTATTTGGTACCACTGTAGTACATATATATAAGAGCATCTCCACTGCATCCCCAAATGTTTTACCCATAACCCAGAACTTCGATTGTACCGTTACTTCAGGTTGCAGTTCGGATATTTTGGGGATTATCCGGGTGATTCTGTCCCCATTTGCTTCGGATATCCCAATAATTTGCACTTTTTGGGATGTCCGAGGCAAGTGGGCACAAAATCACCCGGATAAGTCCCCAATTTCTGCGTAGTATCCGTAACTACGAGGTACAACTGTAGTAATGATTTTTAGGGATGGCGATTAATTGAGTATGGATTATCATTTTTAAGACATTCCTCGCGAGGGCCGACACTAGAACCACATGTTATGGAACCGCTTCGCCAATTGTAACGCGCCTGCTCGACCAGGGGCGGTGTGTAATCTTCGGTTTTTACTTCGCTCAACGCTTCATACCTCGTACTTCGACCGATCTTCTTCGAAGTTCGGTCCTCGTCTTCGTACGCAGCCCTTGTTATCCGGATTCCCCAGGGAGGGACGGATAACTCCTTGCGGAAATAATCCGGGGAATCCGGGGATCGAACCCACGACCTTTGGCGAGTTGGGATGCGGTGGAGATGCACTAAAACCACAGTGAATTAGCTAAAACACCAGGTATTTATTCAACTTTGTAACACAGTTACAGCAGAAGTACCACTCTTTTAGCCAAGTATAAACGCCTCAGTTCTTTCAGTTAAACTTGACGTTAAATCAATATTAGTTACGTTTTTTACCTGGTAATTAGGTTAACTGTAACATTGTGAATAATCCGGATACAATGAAAACTTTCGTACGGATAAGTGCTGTATACAAAGACCAAGTATATCTTGGTCTTTGTACCTGGTTCCATATTTCTCCGAACAAAAAGGCCGGTTGGTTTAACTGTAAATTCTATTACTCGATCAATTTTTCACCAATCGAAAATCTGAACCGTAACTTCTGTTGGGCTTGTCCAGTTCTATGTATATCGTTATTACGGTATATTTTCCTAAATAATATCAATACAAAGTTGGAATAGCTGTAGAAAGGCAAGGCATTTATTTGTAGTCTTTAGGTGACTTGCACCATATTGTGCTGTGCACTTGTTTTGGCGTCGGCTTTACTTGGCTAAAAGAGTGGTACATCTGCTGTAACTGTGTTACTATTAATACGTAGTACAAAGTTGAATAGATACCTGGTGTTTTAGGGTGCGTCTGGTAACACTTCAAAAATAATATTCCATTTTCTCGCAAAATGGGATAAACCAAAAATGCCATTTTCAAAATGGAGGTAAAAGGTCCATTTTGTAAGGTGGTGTTTTGGACCTCTTCAAGGCTTCAAGGAGTAAATCACACTTGGAATTATTGGATTTGGGTTAAAACTCTTCAAGCAAGGCATGTTTGAATTTTGATAAGATTTGTTGAATTCGGCCCCAAAATGGCGTTTTGGGACTGAATATAGCAATATTTCCGGTTACCAGACGCACCCTTAGCTAATTCACTGGGGTTTTATAAATGACAAATAACTCTGAGCAATAATAATCACTTGTGATGCTGAAGTGACCAAAACACCTTGGCTATTAATTCCATCGCGTAGTACACGCTACCTGCATGCACTATGCGATGGAACAAGAAGATGGCGTGGTTTTGTACGATGTGGCACAATACGTACATCAATGTACGGTAGAACTCCGGCGCTTGTCCTCGCTGTGTGTCATTTCTAATATCAAAAGTTGTTCATGGTGACCAGTGAATTGTGCAATTTGGTCCCGAGAATAGCAGATATAACTTCGATTTGCACTTTTCAAATGTGCAAATGCGAGGGAGTTGCATAAATGACCTCCCTATAATTACATTCGGTAACGAAAGAAACGTGACGGCACGGATTATCTAACTGTAAAACACTGGGGTCGATGTAACAAACACCCTGATTAAGGTGTGTATAGCCAAAACGAGTGAAAAGTAGTAATTCCTCTGTTCCAGGTTACTGCTGACATTTCAAAATTCGCATGTTCCAGTTACTGGCGACATTTGCATTTCATTGGCTGTAATTCTTAACATTTATGACAATTCATTGGTTTATAAATGTTTTACGCGCTGATTATAAACCAATCTTTTGCGAAAATTCATGCAATTCCCTTTCAAACAAAGTATCATTCACCCACATTGAGTGAGGGCTCGATTGCCTGTGTCAATTCAAAGTAAATGTCGGTAGGTAACCTGGAACAGAGGAAGTAGTACGTATTAATAGTACTAGTACTTCGAAGTAGTATGGTGCAAATCATCTAACAGTAGTAAAGACTACAGAAGGGCCATCCTCAAGAGGAGGCGTTTTACTACTTGTATTAGGTTAAACGTCCTACCTAAAAAATCCGGATACAATGGAAACGTTCATATGGACAAGTGCTGGATGCAAAGACTAAGATATATTTGATGCACCTTTTCGGCCAAAATGTGCCTGGCTCCATATATTTCCATACAAAAAGGCAGTTGGTTTAAATTCTATAACTCGATCACTTCGAAAATCTGAACCGTAACTTCTGTTGGACTTGTCCAGTTCTATCGTTATTGGCTTATTTTCCTAAAAATATCAATACAAAGTTGGAATAGCTGTCGAAAGACAAGGCGTCTTTGCGCCATACTATTAATAGTACTAGTAATACAGTACGGAAAAAACTGAAACTTATCCGGTTGATCCGAGAACTGAAAATGCCGAAACCAAACCTCACCGACGACGAACGCAATGGTGCGCTTCATCAGCTCTTGGCGCTGATGGCACCTGATGGAACCATGCCACGAGGTGCATTCGCTCAGGTGGCGGAACGCTTTGGAGTTGCCAGGCACACGATCCGGCGAATTTGGCACAGAGCGTCCGTCGACGTTACGAACCCACGCCAACTATGCCAAGACGTGTCGTCCCGTCAAAAGGGCAGATCTGGCCGAAAGCCAAAGCACACATCCATTGCAGACGTCATCAAGGACGTCCCGATGGCACACCGAACGAGTTTTGCATCCATGGCGGCCGCAACGAACATTCCCAAGTCGACTCTCCACGCATACTTCAAGCGCGGGGCGTTTGTCAAGTCCTCGACTCCTGCCAAGCGTTTGGTCCCTGTTCCTAAAAAGGTGGCTCGCGATACTATGGCCAACGACGCTAACAAGGCGGCCCCTGGTACTACTACGGAGTCCTCCGGAGTGCTATGAATAGGCCATGAGTATGTACTCTAACTCGTCACCTCGATGGACAGAATGTAGTTGTAGTTTTTTACAAATTTGTAACTATGGACACACCTTTCAGACTTATGTGACATACATTTGATTTGACTACAATATATTGCAGACGGTGACATCAACCCATATTCGCGCTACAGTTAAGGAATAAAGCTCAAACTTTGAAAACAAGTGTGATGACATACTTACACACCGAAACCATTGTCTCTCTCTACATATATTGTAGCACAGCCCGATCGTTTCTTCGCTAGTCGTGCGCAATCTCGTTAGAATCTACTCCATATTGTTCACGATAGGCACCATTTTTTCGCACATTACCTCTCACACCTTCACAAGCGCAGGTGGAAACGACGGCGGCGCAGTCATCTCACGACAGCCATGAATCAAACGCTGCAGACCATATCCGATCTCTGCTCACTTCATGAATGCCACTTGGAGCCAGCTTGGTCAGTAGTCATATGAGAAGTACACTTTCAACACAAAATATCCAGACCGAGTTGGTCAGGTCCCGACGCAGCCAGCACGCCCACCGCATTGCATGGCCATACATGGATGCTAGGTGCAGAGGCATATTTCTGAAGCCATACACAGAGTCTGGATACAATTCGTTTTTCGCATTAAATTGCTGGAAAGTTGTAAGGACACCAGAGGCGGCGGTGTGTAAGAAGTCCTTGGGTGGCTCGTCGGTTTGCTATTGTTGACTTGTGAATTCAAACTACGTGAAATGCACAAACAGCACATTCATATTTGCTCGACTGCACCGGAGTTATCTTTCGCCGCATGTGAAATAGAAAATGGCGTTGTGGTGCTGTCGATATTGATCCGATCAGTGTGGCAATATTGCCGGAAGAACTTGGTTCGAGGGAGCTACAGTAGCGACGGAGTTCGGTGGCCACCTGACTCCTCGACGTCTACATTACATTTCTTCATATATTCCTCCCATGTCAATCCTGTTGAGTCGTTCGTGAAGGTTGAAGTAAACGTCTAGACGCTTCAAACGGCGCGAAATAGGACCCTCCTGCTCTAGGAACAAAACCCTCGATACATTGTCTTCTTCCTTGTCCCCCTAACCCCTTGAGCCCCAACAGATCGACGCCTGGCAACCAACCATCGAAATGTTTCTTTCGTCCACAAGGCCTGCCTATTGCTCTTCGAGCCCGGCAAATGTCCGGCGCGGGGTCCTTTTCCGTAAAGCAGCTCCAGCTATAGGACGTCGAAGGGCTCCACGGACGTCGTCTCGGCGCTCGTCATGACTTTGATCGTGTCCAACTCCACACCCGGTAGCCCCCTGCAGGTGGCCACCACCTCGTTGCTCGCTTTGAGCAGTTCAAACCCACTCTGCACCACCAGCTTGTTGGTCGTCAAGAACTTGACGCAGATGGGGGGCGTAGTGTCAATCTAGATGGGATACACGTCGTCTTCGTCGACTGGATAACTCGTGGCTTCATCGAGGAGGTACAAGTACAGCGGCGCGCCGTCCATGAGCTATTTCCACTCCAGTCACATCAAACTACCGCCCTCGAGCGCCTTGTTAAAGCGGTAAAATCACAAACGACGTGGGTCGGTCCCACTACGTAACGATGTTGGCCCCCCTACGTACAGTACCTACCAGTACTGACGTGGCGTCGTAGATCTCGTGCATGAGCTCCCTGCGGTTTCCAACTGCCGCACATAAGTGTGTGAGCCAGCGCGACGCTTGTCTTGACGTCGGGGTACATTTCAATCACGACCACATTGTACAAGGACGCCGTGCGTTGCTGCATCGAGTGGAAATGCGCCGCCAAGTGGCTCTGGGACGTCTGCAGCTGTACCGTCATGTCCCCGCCAGTTGCCGTGTTTTGATGGGTAAAGTACGGGGGATACGCCAGAATTTGGTCCATGGTGAGGCGATGGATGGGCTCCACCACCAGGAGGAGACGCTGGATCAAATGCGCGCCAAAATCTTACTATCGGTAGCTTAAGTCAAGGAGTTAACTTCCTTTGGCAGCTACTACAGCATTCCTGGGAAAGGCATACACGACGCTAACAGCAGTACACGTTTTGTGTCCAAGCTCTTGGCTGTTTGAGTGACTAACAGTAAAAACGAACGTGAAGTCGTAGGCTGCGATATCGTAACATCCGTTTATGTATGTGCAGAGCGTACACATACATAAGCGGATGTAAACTCTGAATTAACTCATTTAAAACTGCAGCGCCGCCCTTGTTGTGACCACCTTGACAGCGTCTTGGTTAGGCGTTCTTGGACTTGAGGGGTTTGCCAAACATGGTGGGGCCACTGGCGCGAATCAAAAAGAAGAAGGGCACGATCGCAAATGGCAAGTACGAGCCAAGAATGACCAGCGGCGCAGAGGTCTTGAATTCTCCCACGAACTGTTCTGTCAACACGATCGCCATGACCGTGATGGACTGCGCCGCGTACACCAACGTCGGCACACGCAACCATTCGCTGCCTACGTCAAGATTGAGTTGCTCCAAAAGTTGTTGCAGCGCAGTGATATATACGCATACGATTGATGAAGCCATAAATGGCCACAATGTAGTACGGCACTTGGAACGTCATTTCCATCCAGAAACATACCTACCAGGGTGTACGCACGTGATAACTAACTCAAGAAGCGAACGCTATGTAAGTTATACCTTGAACCACAATGGACGAGCCTGCAACAACGGATCAAAATCGTTGCCCCATTGATGCAACGCGCGAACGACGACGGGCGGAGGCCAATTGACGACCGGTTCAACCTGCTCAACGAGTTTGGTGATGACTTGGTGCTTTGTACGGAGCTTGACATGACAGTACCTTGCCGTATGTAGCAGGGTCGTGAAGAAGGGCTTCCGAATCGCAAAGGATTGCGAGAAGCAAGCTTAACGCGCACCACGCCACGTAGAACCAGTCGCTGCCAATGCTTTGTCCGCCAGCCATCGTCGGATGTCGAAGGGAGTCAAAGCTGGGGGTTTGTCCCAGGGTTTTTCCTAATTGTACTGACCAGAACGAACTAACGTTACCGGTATTTTGATACTGTATTACTTTGACGCTTATATTATCCGGATAACACATTGCACGCGTTAACGTTTGTTCGTACTTCGTACACAATTGATAGACCCTTCAAACCGCATCAAATTCTGGCGGAAGAAAGGTTGATCGATTACTACTGTACGTACCGCTCGTATGGGTGGGGGGCTCTCATAAGCTTGCCCCGAGTAAGTCATAGTGTACATGATATGTATATCGTAGTAGTTTACAATCAATCGACTCGTCGCTGGAGAATAAATGAGAGGCTTAGGCGACGGTGCGACTGGCTCGGATCGAGCGCGCGACGCTCGTGACTTTGGAGTGGGCCATGGATGGATGGCCAGCGTTGATGCGCGACGTGAACGCTGTTTGGGTGTACGTGTGGTTGGTCAAGATGTAGTTGACGGCAAACTTAATCAGGTCGAGGGGAAAGTGCCACAGGATAGACCACAACCAGGCGAGGACGAGGTACGCCCCCCCACACCCGAACACGGCCACGCGGTCGGCGGGGTACCCTGTAAAGCCAAAGCACCCGATCACAGACGCAGCCACTTGGGCAATCACAAACGCAATCAGGAGCAAGTTGCACGGCTTTTCAGCAAAAAACCAAGTGTTGATACCAGCAGTGCGGGTCACAAAGATGAGTGCTTGGCCAGAAATAGACACTTGGGTGTAGATTAGCCCACGCAGGATCCCGTCCTTCTTTTGAATCCCAGGACCTATGACCTTGAAGCCCTTGGTCCACGTCGAGTTAAAGTTGGAGTAGCCCCACACATAGTCGCAGAAACCGACGCCGTTCGTGAGCGGGACATAGTCGTGGCCGACGAATGCGACACCGTTGCCCTGACCAGCCGCGAGGGAGACCGAATATGGCTTGTCAGACCCAAACCCTTGGCCCACCGTGTACTGGTACACGAATTGCTGGTACCCTGTTTCCGCGGCGGGCTCAACTTCGAGCTTGTTGATGTGGTTGCCTTGCAAGTTAGTGAAGAGATCGGTGCGGGATGTGCGGTACTTGTCAGCATAGGCCTCCCAGTACGAATCGATGTCGGCTTGGCGGGAGTTGCCGAGCTCGACGACGTTCGACGACTTCATGATGGACCCGTCCAGCTCTCCGCATGCACTCGAGTTGCGCGTGAGAGAACACGATTGGACTCGAGTCGTGAAGAAGTCGTTACAGTGCGACTTGATGCAGTTCACACACAAGTTTTCGGCGCCGATAAACCCTTGGAAGGCGTTCGTTTGATAAGTCAGTGCAAACAACACGATCGTACTCAACGTCAGCCACAAGCCAAAGCAAATGGACGAGATGAACACGCTCTTGAGCTTCCACGAGTCGGGCGTGCGGCTCGCGGTCACGTTGTCCTTGGAAATAGTCAAGATCGTCCCGTCGTTCAAGATGGCCAGCACCACAACCAAGATGGTGGGGAAGTACCAGTTGTAGCACACCGTCAAGAGCCCAAACGTGCACACAATGCGCACCGTCATGGCGATCGAGTACATGGCGTAGTTCTTCATGCGCAGGAAAATCTCGCGACTCATGCGAATGGCGGTGATGATCACACTCAAACCAGGAGACACGAGCACAATGTCGGCGGCGGCGCGGGCGGCATCTGTGGCGTCGTCCACGGCGATCCCAATGTCGGCTTGGGCCAATGCAGGCGCGTCATTCACACCATCACCCGTCATCCCCACGACTTTGCCCAAACTTTGCAAGTGGCGGACGATCTCAAACTTGTGCTCGGGAAACACCTGGGCAAACCCGTCGGTCTCATACACGAGCTGGGCGAGGTTCATGCCCGGGGGCGGCGCCTGGTTGAAGAAACTCGTGTCCAGGATGTTGGTGGGCATGCCCAGTTGGCGGCACGTTTCCACGGCAATCACGCGGTGATCCCCCGTAACCATCTTGACGGCCACGCCCAGGTCGATGGCGCGACGGATGGTCTCGGCCGTGTCGTGGCGAGGGGGGTCGAACAGAGGCATGAGCCCGACCAACTTCCACTCGGCCTTGTCCAGAGGCACGTCGCCCTCGGAGATGGACACGCCCAGCCCACGGTACCCGCGGCTCGCGTACTCGTTGATGCGGCCTTCGACTTCGTCGCGAAGCGAGTCGGCGGCGATGTCCATGTCCAGACACACTTGGGGGGCCCCCTTGCACGTGCGGAAAATGCGCCCGGTGGCGTTCTCACGGATCTTGGCGATTGTGCGCTTGGTCGTGGGGTCGAATGGCGTGTAGTGCAACAGCGTGTACGTGTCCCACATGGTGGCCTTTTCAGGGTACGTTTCATAGCACACGACGTCGATGGCTTCGTGGTTCTCGACACGAGCAGCCAAGGCAGCATCGCGGATGATCTGCGCCTTGTCAAACCCGTTGTACGCAATCAAGTTGTCCAAGTCCACGCTGAGCTTGTTGAGGGTGAGCGTGCCGGTCTTGTCCGAGCACAGCACTTCCATGGACGCCATCTCTTCGATCGAAGTTAGCCGCGTGACAATCGCGTTCTCTTTGGCGAGCGCAGACGACCCAATAGCCAGCGTCACACTCAACACGGTGGGCATGGCCACGGGGATACCACCCACAATCAGCACCAGGATGTTGGCCACTCCGAGGCATCCGTCCGAGATGATCAAGCACGGGTTTTCTTCTGACCGGGAGCCCATCTGGACCACCAATTCAATGATGCACCACGAAATGATCGACACCATGCAAAAGTTCCCAACAGTCGTCAATACTTCCTGGAGGCGGCCGTGGGATTCGGCGCCCGCGATTTGCGCGGCGGCGCGACCCAAGAACGTGTGGACACCAGTGTTGGTGACCACGGCTTCAATTTCACCTTGCTTGCACACAGAGCCAGAGTACCCTTCGTCGCCAGTTGACTTGGTCACGGGGAGCGATTCACCAGTCAACGAAGATTGATCGATCTTGACAGAGTCGCCTTCGAGGAACTTGACGTCCGCAGGAAGAACGTCGCCCAGACGGATGCGGATCACATCGCCCGGCACGAGGAGGTCCGCGGGGATGCGCGTGATGGCGCCGTCGCGGAACACCTTGGCTTCAGGGGCCAACTGGCCCATCAAAGCAGCGACGGCATCCCCAGCTTGGATTTCTTCAAAGTACCCAATGCACGCGTTTAGCAATAGAAGTGCCAAAATCAAGGCGAAATCCGGGTAATCCAAGAGCACAATGGACAAGATGGCGGCGACTTCCATGGCCCACGACAGCGGGTTCCACATAAAGCCAAGGAACACCATGAGCTTGTTCACTTTGGTCTCGGGCAGCTTGTTCGGGCCGTGTTCTTCCAAGCGCTTTTCGGCCTCGCCCGTGCTCAGCCCCTCGCGAGACGTTTTGAGCTTGTCCAGGGCGACATTGAGCGGAATGGCCGTCCATTCAATATACCCTGCGTCGTTGACGTAGTTCTTCTGGTCGTTGGGCGTGATCATGGACTGGTATGCATTTGCCATTGCTGGAACGCACTCACGTTGAATGCTAAAGTGGTGCAGTTGTTCCCAACTTGATGCTAGAATCGAACATGTGGCCTTTCGTGGGGGGGTCCTATGTGATTGGCTCGCCACGGAACTTTAGAACCATTATGAGTGAATCTTCTACTTACTACTAGTAGTAGTACACTGTAAAGTTCGGCATGTAGTGTACTAGTACGTAGTACTAGTAGTATATATTATTAATAGTACAGTATGCCATTCACAAGGTTACAATACTGTAGTATTACTGTACGTCGTAGAAGTTGGGACATTTCAAGTGAGTGGGTTTGCAACACTCTACAGTTGCTTACGTAATCATTGCACTTGTTCTTATTATGGCATAGTCAAATTCAGTGTAAACCAAAACATTTCAGTGGTGGCTATCCCTAACCACTGCTGATGCACTTTACTATCACTAACCACTGGTGATGCACTTTACCCCGAGAATATCAACACATGGGTTCCGAGATTGATTGGGGCTCCAGGTAGAGATGATTACGTAAGCAGCAGTGGAGCTGTTGCTCTCATTTCGTTTGTTGATGTCGCGCCACAGCGCAACCAACGTCGCCGTCTGGCAGCGCAGATGGTGTTGACCAAATTCGGTAACGAGTCAAAGTACAGCTGTACTATTAATAGTACCTTGAGGCAAGTGTATATTCCATGGTAAGATCTAAAAAACTTACTCCTCCTATTCAAATGTGGACTTCGAAGTGTTTATGCGTTTCGACCAGTCATTGGAATTGTATTCAAAGCTACTTGCCGCCACGTATCTTTTACAAGGGCTACTTCACGTGTACTACTTCAGTGTAGTACTGTACCTACAGAACAGGTAACTTTGCACCTGAACTTGGTCACGAGACACGACATGCGAAGCGACCCTCTAGCGTTATGATGTGGCAACAACAGGTTTGGTTTGTGGTGTGGGAACAGGTTTGGTTTGTGGTGTGTCGTGCTGCTGCCACGTCATATCCTCCACATCGCACCACCTTTCCACATGTGCGGATGGATACACTCTTGAATTGGACCAATCACATCGATTGTAGTTGGAAATGGGCTGAATGCATCATGTTAGTTGAACCTATCACATTGATTGTGGCTGGAGTTCAGCTGAATGCATTAGAGCATCTAATGCCACCATCTAGCACCTTCCTTCCGACTTCGAACCAGCACGAGTGTCTGGTTCGAAGTCGGAAGGAAGGTGCTAGATGGTGGCTTGTTGATTACTGTTTGTACTTGTTTGATCGCGAAGTGCAAAATGCATTCACCAGCATCGAAAGCATGTTGCCCACGAACGAAGATGCGAGGTGGCTCGTTTGTGCAAGTACAGCTGTACTACTTGTTAGATCGCGAAATACACCATCGCACCGCCCACGTCGCAGCACGGTGCCCATGTAGGTTGGCTAGCGCCCCACTTCGTTGGTGTTGCTACAGTAGGCTTGGTTACTGTACGATTCCTTGCCAACGCTGCAGTATATCGGTAAGGGTTGTGCAACCTCCCATCGCTCAATTCATTCGCACTGTCCGAATTGTTGCGATCAAGTCTGTGGCGGCGTGACTATTGCATAACTTAGCCATGGATGGCAGTACATACCGGTATGTACAGGGTAACAAAACGCTTTCCAAAGTTAACGTTAGCTTAAATGTTGATGAGTTCATTGCCGCAAAAAGGAGCCGTGAGGAGACTCACAGAATCCCCGCACTTGATTCTTCCTGCTTGGGGACTCAATCGGACGCTTCAACGATCCATCAAGAATAAGGGGAGCGATATGACAAAGCTTAAGGCATCCCCATATCACATGAGTGACCAGTGCAACGAAGGGGAATATACAGACCAGCCGCTGAGTGATTTTACCTTTACAGCGTAATATCAAATATCAGGAATATACAGACCGTTGCTGTTGATATGCGGGCGGCGGCGCGGACATGCTGTGGGCAAACTTATTTATTCGAATGGGGTACATGTAGATAGAAGATAGATGATACCTTGGTACTGTACCTATGTACCAAGAACTTTCATACTCTGTGCATATTGAAGCGCAGCATGTGGTACGAATATTGCCGACGTTGAGTCGGTTGCCTCGCATAACAGTTAACTATCCACATTTGTTTTGGGGATATCCATGGACAAGACGTTCCTCGGACAATAATTAACGTTATGACAAATTCCATCGTGTGTGGTGGCAGTTTGGGATCGCAATAGGATGGTCACCCCAGCTGTAACTTAATGGACGTTACTCCCTTTTACTGGAGTGAACTGTACCCTGGCACTTGGGCGTTGGATGTTGTTGCATTTCACACGTCGAGTGCGACACGCTTACTTGGTACGCCCACGAAGGGTAGGAGCCAATTGTATCGCATATACGTACGCAGGTAGTATTGGTAAACACACAATCTCTGTATCGCATACAAACGCAAAGCTCAAGTATGCATCGTGCAAACTGCAATTTGCCCTTGCATATCCGGACAGGTCCGTAAAACGTAGGTTTAACTCATACACGTCACAAGTCGAATGAAGGGACAAACCATACAAAGTACCAATGGTACCCTTGGTTTAACGCGCGTTGGGCACGTTAAAGTGAAGTAACTCACCCTCCACATCCTCGCAACCAACAAGTTTGATGCGGATATGCTGGCTCACACTGTCAGTTTTCAATTTGCAGGACGCCGCTGCCGCCAGCATGACGAACGCCTACCAGTCGATGCCGACGCCCAACGACCAGAAGAACTACGTCAACGACGTGGGTCAAGTGGAATGGGGTGCGATCCCTCTGAACGCCGCCTTGGACAAGCTCAAGGCGACTCGCGAGGGGCTGAGCACGGGCGAGGCCGAAAAGCGCTTGGAAGAACACGGCCCGAACAAGCTGCCCGAGACCAAAGTGAACAAGCTCATGGTGTTCCTTGGCTTTATGTGGAACCCGCTGTCGTGGGCCATGGAAGTCGCCGCCATCTTGTCCATTGTGCTCTTGGATTACCCGGATTTCGCCTTGATTTTGGCACTTCTATTGCTAAACGCGTGCATTGGGTACTTTGAAGAAATCCAAGCTGGGGATGCCGTCGCTGCTTTGATGGGCCAGTTGGCCCCTGAAGCCAAGGTGTTCCGCGACGGCGCCATCACGCGCATCCCCGCGGACCTCCTCGTGCCGGGCGATGTGATCCGCATCCGTCTGGGCGACGTTCTTCCTGCGGACGTCAAGTTCCTCGAAGGCGACTCTGTCAAGATCGATCAATCTTCGTTGACTGGTGAATCGCTCCCCGTGACCAAGTCAACTGGCGACGAAGGGTACTCTGGCTCTGTGTGCAAGCAAGGTGAAATTGAAGCCGTGGTCACCAACACTGGTGTCCACACGTTCTTGGGTCGCGCCGCCGCGCAAATCGCGGGCGCCGAATCCCACGGCCGCCTCCAGGAAGTATTGACGACTGTTGGGAACTTTTGCATGGTGTCGATCATTTCGTGGTGCATCATTGAATTGGTGGTCCAGATGGGCTCCCGGTCAGAAGAAAACCCGTGCTTGATCATCTCGGACGGATGCCTCGGAGTGGCCAACATCCTGGTGCTGATTGTGGGTGGTATCCCCGTGGCCATGCCCACCGTGTTGAGTGTGACGCTGGCTATTGGGTCGTCTGCGCTCGCCAAAGAGAACGCGATTGTCACGCGGCTAACTTCGATCGAAGAGATGGCGTCCATGGAAGTGCTGTGCTCGGACAAGACCGGCACGCTCACCCTCAACAAGCTCAGCGTGGACTTGGACAACTTGATTGCGTACAACGGGTTTGACAAGGCGCAGATCATCCGCGATGCTGCCTTGGCTGCTCGTGTCGAGAACCACGAAGCCATCGACGTCGTGTGCTATGAAACGTACCCTGAAAAGGCCACCATGTGGGACACGTACACGCTGTTGCACTACACGCCATTCGACCCCACGACCAAGCGCACAATCGCCAAGATCCGTGAGAACGCCACCGGGCGCATTTTCCGCACGTGCAAGGGGGCCCCCCAAGTGTGTCTGGACATGGACATCGCCGCCGACTCGCTTCGCGACGAAGTCGAAGGCCGCATCAACGAGTACGCGAGCCGCGGGTACCGTGGGCTGGGCGTGTCCATCTCCGAGGGCGACGTGCCTCTGGACAAGGCCGAGTGGAAGTTGGTCGGGCTCATGCCTCTGTTCGACCCCCCTCGCCACGACACGGCCGAGACCATCCGTCGCGCCATCGACCTGGGCGTGGCCGTCAAGATGGTTACGGGGGATCACCGCGTGATTGCCGTGGAAACGTGCCGCCAACTGGGCATGCCCACCAACATCCTGGACACGAGTTTCTTCAACCAGGCGCCGCCCCCGGGCATGAACCTCGCCCAGCTCGTGTATGAGACCGACGGGTTTGCCCAGGTGTTTCCCGAGCACAAGTTTGAGATCGTCCGCCACTTGCAAAGTTTGGGCAAAGTCGTGGGGATGACGGGTGATGGTGTGAATGACGCGCCTGCATTGGCCCAAGCCGACATTGGGATCGCCGTGGACGACGCCACAGATGCCGCCCGCGCCGCCGCCGACATTGTGCTCGTGTCTCCTGGTTTGAGTGTGATCATCACCGCCATTCGCATGAGTCGCGAGATTTTCCTGCGCATGAAGAACTACGCCATGTACTCGATCGCCATGACGGTGCGCATTGTGTGCACGTTTGGGCTCTTGACGGTGTGCTACAACTGGTACTTCCCCACCATCTTGGTTGTGGTGCTGGCCATCTTGAACGACGGGACGATCTTGACTATTTCCAAGGACAACGTGACCGCGAGCCGCACGCCCGACTCGTGGAAGCTCAAGAGCGTGTTCATCTCGTCCATTTGCTTTGGCTTGTGGCTGACGTTGAGTACGATCGTGTTGTTTGCACTGACTTATCAAACGAACGCCTTCCAAGGGTTTATCGGCGCCGAAAACTTGTGTGTGAACTGCATCAAGTCACACTGTAACGAGTACTTTACCGACGTCGTGCGCACGTGTGCGTTGACAAGCAACTCGAGCGGGTGCGGTGAGCTCGACGGGTCGGTCATGAAGAACTCGGACTACGTAGCCCTCGGCAAGGCCCGTCAACTCGACATCCAAGGGTACTGGAAGGCGTACGAAGCCGAGTACAAGAAGTCGCAAGCCGACTTGTTTGAACATTTGCAAGTGAACCATATCAACAACTTTACCAACCTCGAGCCCGAAGCCGCTGCCACGTACGAACAGTTTGTGTACCAATACACGCTTGGGCAAAGTGGGACGCCGTTCCAGGGCAAGCCATACCTCGTCAACACGTCCGCTGCCATCGGCGACGGTGTCGCATTCGTCGGCCGCGACTACTTGCCGCTCACGAACGGCGTCGGTTTCTGTGACTATGTGTGGGGCTACTCCAACTTTAACTCGACCTGGTCCAAGGGTTTCAAGCTCATTGGCCCTGGTGTGCAGAAGAAGGATGGTATTCTGCGTGGGCTGATCTACACCCAAGTGTCTGTGTCTGGCCAAGCGCTCATCTTTGTGACACGTACTGCTGGTATCAACACGTGGTTCTTTGCTGAAAAGCCATGCAACTTGCTCCTGATTGCGTTTGTGATTGCCCAAGTGGCTGCGTCTGTGATTGGGGCTGTGGGCTTCAACGGCTACCCCTCGGATCGTGTGGCCGTGATCGGCTGCGGCTGGGGCTACCTCGTCCTTGCCTGGTTGTGGTCTATCTTGTGGCACTTCCCGCTCGACTTGATCAAGTTTACCGTCAACTACATCCTCAACAACGGGTCGTACACCCAAACGGCGTTCACGTCGCGCATCAACGCTGGCCACCCGTCCATGGCGCACAGCAAAGTGTCGAGCGTTGCCCGCTCGATCCGAGCCAGCCGCACCGTGGGCTAAAAAACACCGTCGTCCGGATGTGTGTTTAGTAGTATGCCAGCCTTGCATTTATATACGACCTCGAGTGTCTAAGCGAACGTAGCCTGCCTCAGTATTATAACAAAATGAATATTCCATTAACGATATACAAGAGTTTGGCAAATGGCAGCCGTTCGTTCATTCATACACTGTATGGATGGTGATAACAAATGGGACTAAATACTAGTTAGTTTCCGTGGCTCGCTTGCTTTGAGGTTTTCAGCGCAACTACGAGCCAGGAGGTTGCATCTCGATGCCCAAGTACCCCCGATGTTCCACGATTATCAGTGACGTCTGGTGAACTCTCCAGAGTCGTCCCCAAAGTGCATGAAATATTTCAAATATGTCGACATTGCACAAACGCTGTTCTGATATACATAATCACATTCGTGTATCAGGTCTTTTCTATCGAACAACGCGCTTCGTTTACGTACACCAACGTTACTACTATGTAGTACATACACCCTACAATTTATATATATCTTATAAGTTTCACACTTGTCACATGTCCATCGCAAAATCCTCTATATTTAGAATTAACAGTCCGATTGCACATTGTCATTTCTGAATTGACCAACCTACATACGTTAGCTCATCCCAAACCCACTTAGCATGTTGCCCATCACTGCGTTTCCTCGTCGCTTCATCACCGCCAAGGCTAGGTCCAAAGTCCTCGTCGTGTCCACTATGGCGCCTTCACCTTCACACCGCCGCCAAGTCCACTCGACGTCGGCTGCAGTGTCGGACCTCGTGACTAGCAACCGCTTCCAAGACGCGGCGAGAAAGCACGTCCATGCACGCACGAAACCCGTGAACGAGCGTCCACAGCGCCACCACCATCACGATGACCTGCATCCGTCATCCACGTCGTCGTCGATGTCCTCGGTCAACCTGACGTTCTCTGGTTTATACCCCGAGCCATTGTGGTACACGACGAGCCCCCGCACCCCGTGCAACGACCCATCGTTCCCGGGCTTGGTGGACGGCCAGCTGCACTCGATCGCGATGCCAAACTTGACCACGTGCACGCGCCAAGACGTGGTCGACTACTTTGACAACACGTGGGCGTTGACAGACATGCTGTTCTCGAGCTTCCAGTCCGAGGCAGCGTTCGTTCAGCCGCCGCCGCACCAGCTCCGCCACCCCATGGCGTTTTACTATGGCCACCCCACGTGCTTTTACATCAACAAGTGCCGGCTGGCGGGGCTGCTGGACCAGCCCGTGAATGCCGCGTTCGAAGACTTGTTCGAGGTGGGCGTCGACGAAATGCGGTGGGACGACATGAGCAAGAACGAGAAGGAGTGGCCCAGCGTGGCTTGTGTGCAGGCGTATCGCCGCCAAGTGTACGGCGTGATCAAGGGGCTGCTGGAGAGTCATGCGGATTTCGCCGACGGCCACGGCCCCATCACGGCGGCATCGCAGTCGTGGGCGCTGTTCATGGCCATGGAGCACGAGCGCATCCATCTCGAGACGTCTTCCGTGCTCATGCAGGAGCACGCCGTGGACAACTTTGTTCAGCCGGACACGTTCCCATCGTACCACCCGTCGGCATCCCGACCACGGTCGGCCAAAGTGCCCGTGGAAGGCACGGATTATCCTGTGAACCGCATGATCCAAGTCGCGACCCACGACGGCCGCCCCCACGTGGTGACGCTGGGAAAGCCATCGTCGTTTCCGTCGTTCGGGTGGGACAACGAGTACGGCGCCAAGACGGTCGCGGTCGCGTCGCCATTTGCCGCGTCGTCGCAGCTCGTGTCGAACGGCGCGTTCTGGCAGTTTGTCAAAGACGGAGGGTACTTGAACCAGAAGCTGTGGTCGGTCACGGGGTGGGCGTGGCGGTCGTTCCGCAACACCAAGTGGCCGCAGTTCTGGCGTCCGGATGGCCCCCAGGGCAGCCACGAGTACCGGCTTCGGGCGCTGTTTGACGAGATCGACATGCAGTGGGACTGGCCCGTGCAGGTGAATCTGCACGAAGCCCAGGCGTTTTGCCGATGGAAGAACCAGCAAGACGACAACATCGCGTCCGAGTACTACCACGTGATCACCGAGCCCATGCACCAGTTGCTGCGAAACGACCTAGACAAGAGCAACCCCATCACTTCATCCACGACCTTTCAAGATGCGATTTTGAACCACCTGCCACGACACACCACGATGGCCACAACTGACGACGCGCCCCAACGCAACACCAACGTGAGCTTTGCCTCGTTCAGCCCCGTGGACAGCATGGCGCCCAATGATCAGGGCTTCCACGACGTGTTTGGCAACGCCTGGGAGTGGTGCCAGGACCACATGAGTGCGCTGCCGGGGTTCAAAGTCCACCCCGTGTACGACGACTTCACCCTGCCATGCTTTGACGGCGAGCACCATGTGATCATGGGTGGGTCGTTCATGAGCAGCGGCGGCAACGGCGCGTCCAAGTTCAGTCGGTTCCATTTCCGGCCTCATTTCTTCCAACACGCGGGCTTCCGCGTCGTGTCGAGTGCCGTGACGACGACGACCGACGGCGACCAGGTCGTGGACGTCATGACGTCGTGTGTGAACGCGCCCGAGCCCCACACGGTCGTGAATCCGTTCCGAACGTCGTCCACCTTCGTGCTCCACCCGTCCAAGGTGTCGTCGGTGTTTCTGACCAAGTTGGAGGCGCAGGCGGCGACCCAGTGGCGGGACTTTGGTGCCGGCTACGACAACGTGCACGTGGTTCTACCTGGCGACGACTCGATCCAAGTAGAAAAGTTGGAAAGAAAAGGAGAGCATGTAGGGTCAGTGCTCCTCGTGGTTCCGAGTGCGTTGGACGGCCAACTAGACAAGGATGACGAGTGGGAGCGGGTAAAGGAGGGCGTGCTGCCGCACGTGGAAAAGGAAGGATCGGACGTCCGCCGCGTGTCCATGGTGCACGTGTCGGCATGGCGCCAACGATCTACTAGGACTAGCTAGTAGTAAAAGTCTCTATTTATTTTAACGTTAACTCGATTGTGTACTAATTTTTGTTAATACTTGTACATGGATGTCATGTTTGCCTGGATTTGAGACATGTGGAGGAGTCGCGTCACGGGCAAGTGCTGAATGCAATTTGACTTGTCGTTGGCCTTATCACTGTAGACTTGATGAATGCCAGCATTTCTACCCATTTTGTGGCCGATCACGCTATGTCCTGTGCAGCAATGTATCAATCAATCTCTATTTCGAAATGAACCTTGGCATCCCTGGATTACGTGTTTACTGTTAACTAGGAAATCTAATCTCAAATCCGTGACCTTGACTTCTCGTATGTGACCTTGACTTCTCGTGGATGTCATTGCTCAACTGGTCAATACACCCTTGGTCGTGGCCACAGTGTGCAGCTGTGCAAGATCATGCCTTGCGAAGTCCACAAAACCGAAGTCGATGCGCTTGAGTGACGCGTTTGCGGCTCGAACAAAATATGGCTGCAATTCCCTGTCGACGGAATATATGTGTCGACGCACGACTTGACCATTTCCAACTGGCACTCGGAATATGCCAGATCTGTCCATTTACGCAGCCCCGTCGTCTGAAATCGTGCCTCCAACCAATTGCAAGCCGCGTAGTCCTGTGTTTTTTGTAGGGACGACGCCACCTGAGGCCACGGAGAGTCGGGTATGTATGTAGGTTGACACCACTTAAGTCCAAGTACGTAATGTGGGACTGGGGCAACGCTTGATCTCTTGCTCGACATCCGTCAACGAAGTCTTGACCACCAGCTCTTGATTTATCCACGATGGTAGTTACTGTAGTTGCTAACGCTGACAACCAACACGGCTCGATCGCGCAGTAGCTCCGACACGGCATGGGCAACAAGTAATCAACCGCCAATCTTGCGAGACCGCAAGTCGTGATAGCCAGTTCATCCAACTTCGGGCTATTTACACAAAAAGGGCGATGAAAAACGATACCTACGCTTCGTTGGTGACGTTGTCCCACGACCGAAGCGAAACCTCCGAACGGGATGCGTATTGAACCACTCCTCCATCTGGCCCAACATCTCCGTCGTGACCTCGTGATCGTCGTCGTTGCCGTCTAGGTTCTCCAACGTAAGGTCGATCAGATACACATTATTATACTCGGACGTCATAACAAAGGCTACAGTATGTAGCACAGGGCCCAAAATGTTGGCATATGTAAAGCCCACTGACTGAAGGTGCGCCATCTTGGAGGTCGAAATCGGAATGCCCAGACAAACCAAAGATTCGCTGGATGCCCACTACCCGAACCAGTCGTCAGAATCGTCGAGGTTTGGGATCTGGTGTCCATCCCACGTACAATGAGCGTCGTCGGTGCCAAGTACTGATGGAGCCACGAAAGGTCACACGATCCAATGACACGTGGACGCAACTGCGATGGCTTGGTAGTGCGGTGACCCCATAAAAAACCAAGCCACAACACCGACGGATCGCATGCTTACGACAGTTGACACAGAACTTCGAGGGAGAACACGAGGGGCTAAGCGAAGGGCCAACAGCGTGGTGGCGTCTAGAATATGTAAAAGGCCACAACAATGACCAAGATTTTAGGATGGACGGCACAACTGACCTTAACTCTCAGACATGCGCAGTCTACAGCGCACCACTTTACAGTCAGGAAAGTGATTCAAACACAACTGAAGTCAAGTTCATTCATGCATGTACTTCTTCCAGCAAAACCTCACTTTGCTAACCATGGAACCGCACAAACGACGACACATATACGCATACACACTCAAGTTGTACGATAACCACAAAATGAAAATGGAAAAGTAGGCTTCGGCGGCATGCACAACAACAAGACAGCCTACAAGCAACTGCTTACGCAGTTCGACACATTCAACCAACAACGATGTCCGTGTACACAATCGAGTTATAATAAATAGAGACTTTTACTAGCTAGTGCTAGTAGATCGTTGGCTCCACGCCGACACGTGCACCATGGACACGCGGCGGACGTCCGATCCTTCCTTTTCCACGTGCGGCAGCACGCCCTCCTTTACCCGCTCCCACTCGTCATCCTTGTCTAGTTGGCCGTCCAACGCACTCGGAACCACGAGGAGCACTGACCCTACATGCTCTCCTTTTCTTTCCAACTTTTCTACTTGGATCGAGTCGTCGCCAGGTAGAACCACGTGCACGTTGTCGTAGCCGGCACCAAAGTCCCGCCACTGGGTCGCCGCCTGCGCCTCCAACTTGGTCAGAAACACCGACGACACCTTGGACGGGTGGAGCACGAAGGTGGACGACGTTCGGAACGGATTCACGACCGTGTGGGGCTCGGGCGCGTTCACACACGACGTCATGACGTCCACGACCTGGTCGCCGTCGGTCGTCGTCGTCACGGCACTCGACACGACGCGGAAGCCCGCGTGTTGGAAGAAATGAGGCCGGAAATGGAACCGACTGAACTTGGACGCGCCGTTGCCGCCGCTGCTCATGAACGACCCACCCATGATCACATGGTGCTCGCCGTCAAAGCATGGCAGGGTGAAGTCGTCGTACACGGGGTGGACTTTGAACCCCGGCAGCGCACTCATGTGGTCCTGGCACCACTCCCAGGCGTTGCCAAACACGTCGTGGAAGCCCTGATCATTGGGCGCCATGCTGTCCACGGGGCTGAACGAGGCAAAGCTCACGTTGGTGTTGCGTTGGGGCGCGTCGTCAGTTGTGGCCATCGTGGTGTGTCGTGGCAGGTGGTTCAAAATCGCATCTTGAAAGGTCGTGGATGAAGTGATGGGGTTGCTCTTGTCTAGGTCGTTTCGCAGCAACTGGTGCATGGGCTCGGTGATCACGTGGTAGTACTCGGACGCGATGTTGTCGTCTTGCTGGTTCTTCCATCGGCAAAACGCCTGGGCTTCGTGCAGATTCACCTGCACGGGCCAGTCCCACTGCATGTCGATCTCGTCAAACAGCGCCCGAAGCCGGTACTCGTGGCTGCCCTGGGGGCCATCCGGACGCCAGAACTGCGGCCACTTGGTGTTGCGGAACGACCGCCACGCCCACCCCGTGACCGACCACAGCTTCTGGTTCAAGTACCCTCCGTCTTTGACAAACTGCCAGAACGCGCCGTTCGACACGAGCTGCGACGACGCGGCAAATGGCGACGCGACCGCGACCGTCTTGGCGCCGTACTCGTTGTCCCACCCGAACGACGGAAACGACGATGGCTTTCCCAGCGTCACCACGTGGGGGCGGCCGTCGTGGGTCGCGACTTGGATCATGCGGTTCACAGGATAATCCGTGCCTTCCACGGGCACTTTGGCCGACCGTGGTCGGGATGCCGACGGGTGGTACGATGGGAACGTGTCCGGCTGAACAAAGTTGTCCACGGCGTGCTCCTGCATGAGCACGGAAGACGTCTCGAGATGGATGCGCTCGTGCTCCATGGCCATGAACAGCGCCCACGACTGCGATGCCGCCGTGATGGGGCCGTGGCCGTCGGCGAAATCCGCATGACTCTCCAGCAGCCCCTTGATCACGCCGTACACTTGGCGGCGATACGCCTGCACACAAGCCACGCTGGGCCACTCCTTCTCGTTCTTGCTCATGTCGTCCCACCGCATTTCGTCGACGCCCACCTCGAACAAGTCTTCGAACGCGGCATTCACGGGCTGGTCCAGCAGCCCCGCCAGCCGGCACTTGTTGATGTAAAAGCACGTGGGGTGGCCATAGTAAAACGCCATGGGGTGGCGGAGCTGGTGCGGCGGCGGCTGAACGAACGCTGCCTCGGACTGGAAGCTCGAGAACAGCATGTCTGTCAACGCCCACGTGTTGTCAAAGTAGTCGACCACGTCTTGGCGCGTGCACGTGGTCAAGTTTGGCATCGCGATCGAGTGCAGCTGGCCGTCCACCAAGCCCGGGAACGATGGGTCGTTGCACGGGGTGCGGGGGCTCGTCGTGTACCACAATGGCTCGGGGTATAAACCAGAGAACGTCAGGTTGACCGAGGACATCGACGACGACGTGGATGACGGATGCAGGTCATCGTGATGGTGGTGGCGCTGTGGACGCTCGTTCACGGGTTTCGTGCGTGCATGGACGTGCTTTCTCGCCGCGTCTTGGAAGCGGTTGCTAGTCACGAGGTCCGACACTGCAGCCGACGTCGAGTGGACTTGGCGGCGGTGTGAAGGTGAAGGCGCCATAGTGGACACGACGAGGACTTTGGACCTAGCCTTGGCGGTGATGAAGCGACGAGGAAACGCAGTGATGAGCAACATGCTGGGTTGGGCTTGGGATACTTGGCGGAAATATGGAAATGCAGTGGTCGCTGCGTGGCGGTACACCCAATAGCTCTAAATTCGACTGTCTACCGGAACTTCGGGGGCATTCACATAAAGATGACGAGTGCGTACATGATCCGGATAATTATCCAATTTCACCCAATTAGGAAATAAACCAAGATAAAACATACATTCTTAAATCGTTTGAGGATGACAATGGGTCTTTTCCGGATATCAAGATCCTCGATCATCTCGACACTGGGGATCCTTCGGTTGAATTCGCACCATGAATACTCAATCCTCAATAATAGCAAGTATCGTTCTATATTATATTGGGTCGCGATCGTAGTTTGCACTTGGTTAGTGTGCGTTTGGCGCGAGTGTGCTGAACAAGGGTGCATTGCTGTAGGTACTTCCGAAGTACCTTTGAAACCATATGGAGAGGCGAAATTAATTCGACCACCTACATACAATGGTACCTATTCATGGGTGTACCTTTACAAACCCCAAGTAAAAGTACTTGGTCGTAAAACAGGCCTCGTCCGAGTACAGAGGTAGTACTGTACTGTACATCACTGTACAGGAGCGACACGACCTACCTGCCTCTTTTCCCGACAAGAGGAATCGATTGGACATTCGGTGAAGTGCACGATTGGGGCTCACTCGTTGCCAAGACTAATTATACTTCGAAGTACACGCGACCTCCGCTGCGATGGGCGCATTTTGATGCTCGGTCGTCACTCGCTACAGTATACTGTATAAGGCTTGGTCAATGTGAAAAAAAAAAGAAGTACGATCCAGGGACATTTCGGACCTTGGTCAAGATGACATTGGCTGAATGAAAAGTTTTACTTCGAAGTACCCATTTGGAGGTTACCGCTGTTATAAATGTTACTCCGTAATATTAATACTAGTAACGTTACTAACTAATAGTAGTTGGTACTGCTTCCTGACATATTGTGGAGGGCAGCAGTGGTGGCTCGGGCAGTGCTGGACAGGGCGTGGTCTACAGTACCTCGGTACTTCGGGGCATGATAGGCCAAGACTAACCAGAGTACAGTAGTACTAGTACTTCGAAGTATAAATTTATCATGAATACGACAGTACAGTACCGCAATTGGTATCCGGATGATTGATTAGTTCACAGTTAAATATTACTAGTGTGACATACTAGTACTATTAATACGTAGTACTGGTATTATTTACGTAATCAGCGTCAACCCCACCCTGCCCCTTTATGTACGAATTGTACTTATAGGAATGCGAAAAAACCCCAGTCAAAACATGAGAAATTCTCACATGTACTATGGTGCACGTCATCTATAAACTACCAACTTTTCACAAAATTTTCTGACTTCTATTTCATATTCATTACTCAAAATTGCAGGAAATTGAGACGTATAATCGACAGATCTCAATGTGGTGAAGAAATTTTACGTCTCAGATTCAAATTTGGTGATGAATTGGTCCAGAAATAGATATTTAACCTAGCGGTATTTTACATGGGCGCTTGGATATTTGGCCATAGGGGTGGCCGCTCAAATGTATCTTGATTTTTGTATGTGACTCTTATCCGTATTTATTATCCGGAGGCAGTTGGGGCCTTTAACCTCCCACTCCAGTGATAAAACGCATGAAATCGGTATTTAACGTATCTGGATTTTGGGTTTAACTACATTAATTGCACGTTAAATAATAAAACCTCCACTCTTCAATTTGGCCAGTTGGAAGTTTTTAGATGAAGTGCACCATAACTATACCTCGAAGTACTAGTACGTATTACCAGTAACATGCGAATCAACTAACGACTACTACATAGTAATTCGTTCATAACGTTAGTCGTTCAATTAGGATCTACCTAGCCAATCAAAAAGGTCCACCAGGTAACCTAGCCAATCAAAACGGCCCACCAGGTCAATCCCAAACCGCCAACTTGCCATTTTTTGCTTCACAACCTAGGGCGGCTTCAACTCGAATAAATACACGCCCCTGGACGACATACACGAATCTGTGGCAATTCTGCACCCCACGTATGCGACGCAAGTCCCGGTACGTCTGAAACAACGGATGCGGTCCGACAACTACTGTATGTGATCAAAGGCGAGCTAGGTGGCGTGCCGTACTTCAAAGTGATCGACACGTCGTCCAATGTTTAAACCAAGAAAACGCTGGTGGATTACAAAGGACGCAACGTCGTGGTGACGGAAATCGTCGGCGGGTTGGGGTGTAGGACGACGTGTCCAAGCCGGACACCAAAGCCGTGTGGTTTAGCATGTATTTGAAAATGAGCAGCATGTGCAAAGCTATTTGAAGAGCGACGTCGTGGACGTAATCACTGGCGCGGCATATCATTTTTCCATTGACTGCGACTTTATAGGCCGACGCATGGTCATCTGTTGCAACAAGGCGGCGGTGGCCAAGTGGAGAAAGTGTTTGTTGAACATGACTACACTCGAGGAGTGGGCATGGTGTACATTCTGTTGCTGTGCGTTGCGATGAACCAAGCCGGGCTGGACGACATGTAGAAGATCAAATCGTAACATGTAATAATACCTCGTAGCTCAAGTTTCAAAGATTCATTAGGATAAATGTCATATTACTGTTTGAGAGCCCGCTAGTTCTCGTCGAAGTGTTCCCGCGCTCTGCCATGTCCTTTGTGAAGCAGTTGAAACTGCAAAATTCACGTTTTTTTAGGTTGCGAAGAAAGTGCGATGGCGAAGGTGCTACGTATTTCACATGCGGGAACTGCCGGTACTGTACACGTTGTGGCATTGCCCTCGTGGTTTCGACCTTGTCCATACCACTTACCACTGAGAAGTTTCGTATGGCCACGACCTGCTATTTCTCAGGAGTAAACTTCTATTCTCGAGGTCAGCTATTGATCGCACTATGCAAGCACAAATTCTCGCGGTATTTGAACTCACAACGACTACAATCGATAGCTGCGTTCGTACAGTAGCCCGTCCAGTGACTCCCTGCCATGACGTTGGCAATCCCGAATGCAAACAGGAAACGATGACAGAACGAGAATACATGTATGTACTAGTAGTATCCCTGTCACCAATGTCCAGTTTGACCAGCCGAAATCACTATTCCACCGCCAACTCGGCCACGACAACTGTGCAAATCACGGCTACATGCTCTGGATTGACACTCGTAAGCGCAGCAGGCATGTCATGACCTGGCACTTTCGGCATTATGTGTCGAAAGGCAACTTCAACTTTACCGCCTGGGGATTCGACTGGTGCTGACGTAAATGCATTTTGGCCAATTAACGGACGCCTTTTTCAATGGCAACGACGTTCGACTAGGACGGACGACATGGCCTACTTGGTTTTATACGTTTTAGTCCATATATTCTTTATAGAATTGTCCGTCAAAATGGGTAAAACGTATAAAACCGCCATAAAACCGCCATTTGATTTCATTTAACGCCATTAGGTCATTGGAATGGTCGCGTGATTGACATGCGCATCTGCCCACCAATCGCGGCGGATCTTTCTGCTTATAATCGCTCGACGGTGCCAGCAAGATGGAGTTCCGCGAGTATGAGGAAATGCTATGGAACCTCATGTCTGCAGAGAATACTGTGCGGAACCATGCCGAGATGATGTTTGAGTCAATGAAGGCAGACAGCGACCGCACCTTGCTCTATCTTTTGCAGGTAGGTACCAGTACAACCATCCGCCACCCAACCCCGTGACATCCACAGGTGATCCGATCGACGTTGAGCGACGACGTGCGCGGCCTCGCCGCCGTCCTTTTGCGGCGCGTGTTGATCCGTGACGAAGTGAGCTTGTGGACCAACGCCGCCGCCTCCACGCAGCACAGCGTGAAAACCGACCTGCTCCATGTGCTCACGTACGAGACGAACCGCAGCATTCGGCGCAAGCTGTGCGACACCGTGGGAGAGTTGGCGTCGTCCATCTTGGAGGAAGGCGAATGGGAAGAGCTGCTTCCGTGCATGTTTCAGTGGATCACGTCCACGAACGTGGCCCATCGTGAAAGCGCACTTCGCGTGTTCGAAATGATCTCGCTCTACATGGCCACGTGCATGACAGCGTACTTTGACACGACGATCCAGCAACTGTTCCAGACCAGTTTGCGCGACGGCGAAGGCCACGTCGCCCTCCACGCCCTACGCGCTCTCGGTACGCTACACTAGTCTCCACCAGTGTCGGCCATGCTTTGATATTATTACCTACCCTTGAATGAACGTCCTGACAGTAATAATATATATATATATATATATTGTCCTTTTACCCAAAATGTGGACTTTTGTGCGGACTCGCCAAATCTATCGATCGATTCATTTTGTACTGATATATTTTGTAATGATATATTTTGTACTGAATGTTGTATGCAAAAAGATGTCCTGTGGTGATTGGTATCACACGAATTTCAGTCACACACTAATTTGACGTTGATCGTGGTTTCCTGCAATCTGATTGGCTAAATCTTTATCTGTCGACGATCCTTCGATCCATTTGGTTGGGTCGATTATTCCATTCTCCTTGTCGATTTCTCCAGTTTGGACTAAACATCAACAATATATATATATATTAAAACGAATACTGGTGTAGGCATGCTGCTATTGAGTTTGGACGAACTGGACGAACGTGATCGGTTCCAGCCGCTTCTTCCCGCGATTCTGCATGCCCTGCACACAATGCACGTCGACGGCAACGAAGAGGACCTGGTGGAGGCTATGGAGGTGTTGATAGAGCTTCTGGAGCCCCACGCTTCGTTTTTCAAGCCCATGTTGGTATGTACACTGTATACATCCGCAAAATATCTAATATATATATCTGTCGTTTGCAGAAAGAACTCGTGCCTCTCATGGTCGTGCTCGTGTCCACGGGCGCGTCGGACGGCAGCTTTGGACGCCGCCAGCTGGCCATGGAAGTGCTCGTGTCCATCGCTGAAAATGCCGCGAGCGCGTGCCGCCGGTTCCCCCAAAATGGCTTTGTGGAGCAAGTGTTTCCCCTGACATTTCACTTGATGCTCGATGTAAACGAAGACACGACTGGGGATGAAGTAGACGACGCCGAAGACGATATCTCCAATGTCGACGTCGGCGCAGAGGCGCTGCAAAGGATGGCGCAGGCGATTGGGTTCAAGAAAGCATTGCCCGTATCGTTTGGGCTCGTGTCGCAGTATGCTGGTACGAGTACAAACTAAATGTGTGGGGAGTACTAGTACTAGTAGTAGTACTACTAGTATTAGTACTAGTAGTAGTGTGTGTGTGTGAGAAAGTGTGCTGTGTGGGGATACTGATCTATGCTGAGATATACAGGCATATATTATTGCCTGAAAATAGTGGTTGAATGGTTTGTTTATGTTGTGAAAATCGCCTCTCTTTTTAAATTGGATGGTAAGAAAGATATGGTGTAATTTTATTATTCGACTGGAAATGAACTTCGTGTGGCGGGGATCCCCTGCGAAATTAAATATCAATTTTCAGAGGTACATTTGTGTACCTGCATTTTAGCCAATCAGAATGCAATCTTCGATCGGTTTAGCCAATCATACTATTTAGCTCAATTTTTTTTGGTTGGCGATTTCAACCATCCCCTAAAATGGGCAAAATTGACTGAAACGCACGATAGTACTAACTGTTATAACAAGTATAATGTATCAATCACATCGTACACATGAATATATATATAATGTGAGTTACTGGTATGTCTCCGACTTGTAAGTAGAAATAATACAAAAGACAGAAATACCCATTGTATCTACTCTGATAATCAATCACAAGTAAAAATATGTATGTGAAACACGAAGAATTCTTTTTTTTCCCATGAAAAAAAAAAGCGGCAACGACTGTTTATTCCAAAACCCCACACACAATCAATTCATAGCTGATACTTTTTTATTCATTTTTTTTTTCCTTTGTGTAGGCCACCCCGACTGGAAGTATCAGTACGCAGCACTGATGGCTTTGACTCAAATCGTGGAAATTGTACCGTCCAGCCAGCTACACGCCGTGGTTAAGCACGTATTTGCCCATGTGCATCCAGATGGTCACCACCCCAAGGTCGTGTCTGTGGCTATCGATGCCCTCGGACAGCTGGCCACCGACCAAGGCCCTTTATTTCAAGAACAATATCACGAACAAACGATTTCCGTGTTGCTTGGTATGATGGACTCCCCCTGCATCGTGCATGCTCTTGCTATATATTGCTCTTTCTTTTTACTGATCTCTCTCTCCCTCCCACTTCAAAACGGCAAAAGTTATGCAACTTTAGACAGGATATATTGTGCAAGTATGATGAAGTCGTCTTGAAATTGTATATATTATTGTATGGTGGTGGACCTCCGGATGACCCTACAAAGTTCCTCCACCGTTAATATGATTAGATTATATAATTTATCGAACAAAACCCGTTTCAAAATAGAAAATAGGAGGGGGAATTTGTTTTTATAGTTATTGTACTTTCGAGTGAAATTTCATTGTGTTGTGGCGTGGTTTCTCGGTGGAATTTAAATCGATTTGATTGGCTACCTCAAATTATTAGCCAATCAAAACCTTCTCAATGAAATTCAACCAATCATATCGATTGCGGATCGGTTTGGTCGGCGCGATTCGATTGCACCCCCTCCCCAGATTTGTATCAAATACGACAATAGTATCAATGTATTTTTCCAAATTACGTTGAGTTTATTTGTTTTTAAATTATTTTTCACGACCATACCAACCTATTGTATTAGAATACATGCAAGTGGGCGTTGTACGACCTAACGTCCCTGCCAAATGGACTTGGCACTTTCTCACGCACGCCCTGACGTCGCTGCGCCAGTTTATCGACACGTGTCACCCGGAAATGGTCGAACCGTACCTGGAATCCCTGCTTGGCAGCTTGTTTGCGCTGCTAAACTTGGGCCATGCCACCGCCGAAAGCCGATCCGTCCAGGAGTATGCCGTGTCGGCGCTATCGTCGATCGCTGGCTGCTGCGGCGAGTCGTTTGGCCGGTTCTTTAACATGGTGTTCCCGCCACTCAAACAGTTGCTGTACACGTCCCTGCAAGAGCTGCAATTGGACGCTGCGTCCACGACGACCGCCCCCGTCTCCACCACGCTATGTGGTATCACTCTTGAGTGTATTTCATTGGTACGTTGTATATATATATATCTTTGTCTGTATGGACTGGTGATACAGTACCTACCACGTGTTTGATTTGAATGTGCAAAGTATGCGTTTATAAATATATATTTTTTCGATATGGATTTTTTGTTATTACGTTTGGCTTGAAGGTGCAAGAGTGATGTTATAATTATACGTTTATAATTATGTATGAGGCAGACACAGCGTATTGATCATATGAAAAATTATATCCAGTATTGGAATATTATATACCATAATTTTATCCATTTCAACTATGTGCAATAGTGACTTTAATTATATATATATATATATACTTGATATTGATTCGTTCCATGTCGTCGAATGTGCAACGTGAGATTATAATTTTTTTTCGTTTAAATTACGTATGGCAAACACGGTATTATTGACCATATAAAGTATTATTTCCATTTCAATGTCATTAATTTTATATATATTTGTGAAGCAGACATGTCTAGTGCGCTACTTCCAGTATCATAAGTACGATATGTTGTGTATGGATTTCGAATTGGATAAGACAAATAAATACATAAATGAACGGCTAATATAAGACTTATTTGATGTTTAGGTCGGTCTAGCAGTTGGTCCGGCGGTGTTTGGCGGTGACGCCGCAGAAATTCTCGACGTGATGACCCAGATGCAGCACTCTTCGCAGTACGCCAACGATGAGATCTTGCGGTCCTACTTGTTGCAAGCGTGGGCGCGATGGTGTAAGACTCTGACACATCACTTTGCCAATTACTTGCCTGTTGTGATGCCAAGCCTGCTCGATGCCGCCATGGTATGTAGTAGTACATACTGAATGGGTCTCAATGTATATAACACATATTTGATTGTCCTGTTTTGTGCTTTTTTACCGTGTGATATGGCTGGACATTTAGTCTACAGCGGACTCTGAACGTGCTATACGTGTATATATATATATATATATATATATATATATATATATAGACTGGATTCAGGTTGTTGATTGATATAGACTGGAAAAAAGGTTGTTGTTTAAATGAAAATAGGACCCACTTGTACGAATCAAATGAAATAATACTCGTGTCTCTCCACGTCATTCCAGTCAAAACTAGTCCCAAAATATATTATTTGACACCAAGACATATACAACATATATTTATATCATTCATACAAGTGGTCATTGTATATATTGGGTTGCTATTTGAGTAAGGTAATGATATATATATCGATCATTACCTGATCCAAACAACAACCCAATAATCCAGTCTATATCGAACAATCAACCTGAATCCAGTATAAATTCTATATATATATATATATATATAT